GTTTTTACAGCCTGAAATATTTTAGAATATCACTTTTAATTCCAAATGTGAAAGATTTCAGAGCTTACCCATAAAGTTTTTCACTTTTTTTTTTTTTTGGCCAGTCGTGGGGCCTGAACTCTGGGCCTAGGTGCTGTACCTCAGCTCTTCAGCTCAAGGCTAGTGCTCTACCACTTGAGCCACAGTGCCACTTCCAGCTTTTTCTGCTTATGTGGTGCTGAGAAATCGAACCCAGAGTCTCATGCATGCAAGGCAAGCTCTCTACCATGGCGACACCTTCCCAGCCCCTCACAATCTTTTATAAATGTTTCAGTCAAAAATATTTATAATTATGAACCATGTCATTGAACATTGGTGGGAAGAATGAGAAAGATTTGAATGTACCCTAAACAATAAGGAAGCCCCCCAAATTGCATGACATGTGAGGCTGGGTACAGGATGCTGAGGTATCTTGTTGAGCAGGTGTTGAGAGGTGACTTGCATTTTCCTAGTGCAGGGGCTGCAAGCTCCTCAGTGCAGAGTGCATTTCTAGGAATTAGGACCAGCTTCCCCCTTTGTAGAAGGAACAACTTAGAATCATGGGAAAACAGTTTTGAAGCTTTACATTTTGTGTAATTCTTGAGGAGCAGGAAGTCTGTCAGAATGGATAGCAGAGGGATATTTTGAGTGGACCAGTGATACACTTAGGGGAGATTCTTAATAAAATTTTAGTTGAATATTGGAAATAATTAAACTGGAGACATTTCTTAAAGAAGGGAGAGAGACAGTAGTCATGGTAATAAGAAATACTCAGCTCAAACTTAACCAGGCTTAGCTGCCCAGTCTCACTTTATCTTTATGAAGACACTAGATAAACTAAATTGCTCCTGTTTTAGAAATGGAAACCTTGAATACTTAGGAGGCAAGTACTAACAAAAACTAACTCAGATGACAATTCTTTTGCTTTTTCCCCCATGAATAGTTTTACTTTTTCTTAGAAACCTTCTCACTTTCATGCTTTATACAATCAATTGAAATACTGAAAAATCTTCCTGTATACCAAATAGTCCATAAATTTGTCAACACAAGCTTGTCATCAGATGATTAATAGAATGCCCCATTCACCATTTTATTAAGACAGTTTCAAAAAGAAATGTATTTAGAGTTGAACAGAGTGCTATTTTGTTTAAGATTCTGAAACATTTATCATTAGAGATGATAACAAAGGACTGGAAAATAGAGCCCAAGTCAGATATCCAATTGTATACTTCAACCATGTATTTTTACCTGTGCATTTATGAGCAATGTAGAATGACTTAAAATCTATCATAAGTCTGTCATTTGTATAAGGACTTTTGTTTACTTTCAGTGAGAAATGTGTACACATAGGTTATAATTTTAAAAGAAGTCTTTCTCTACATATCAAATAGTAGGGTTCTTAGATGCATTGTGCTTGTTATTTTATCCCTGCCAATCACTTTCTACCCTCAGGGCTTAGTTCTTAACCCATTGGTAAAACTGCCATAGACTTTGGACAACCCTCTTCTCCCAGATTGTTACCATTAAGTAAGATTCAGTACATGTGTATTTAATGCTAGGTATGTTCCCCTCTGGAGAGCAAATATTAGGTTTTTGTTCTTAAATACTTCTTAGACATGAATAGATTTAATGTACAAAAGACTATGAAAAGAAAGTTATCCACACAAGGGCTAGACAGTTTCTACTTAGGAAAGGAGAAGAGATTGTAAGGAAAGGAGAAGAGATTGAAGTTGTTTAAATTGTGTGGGGAGTCTGTTGGGTGTAATTTGTTGGTTTAAATTGTATTTTTTCTTTTACTTTCTTTCCTTTTTTTTTTTTTTTTGTGCCAGTCCTGGCTCTTGGATTCGGCCTGGGCACTGTTCCTGAACTTTGGTGCTCAAGGCTAGCACTCTACCACTTGAGCCACAGTGCCACTTCTGGCTTTTTGCCTGGACTGGCTTCGAATCATGAGCCTCAGATCTCAGCCTTCTAGTAGCTAGGATTACAGGGGTGAGCCACCAGTACCTAGCTTGTTCTTTTCTTCTTTTTCTTTCTTTCTTTTTTTTTTTTTTTGGTTGGTCATGGGCCTGGGTGCTGTCCCTCAGCCTTTCAGCTCAAGGCTAGTGCTCTACCACTTGAGCCACAGCTACACTTCTGGTTTTCTGGTGGTTATTAGGACAAGCAAAAAACGTCAAGAGCTATGTACATATGACCATATAAGATGATGTTAAGCGAGATGACCCCCATGACAGGGACACAGTGTTTTTTTCTTTCTTGCTATTGTTTTTAATGTACTTATAATGCTTTATGTGATTATCTTGTTTCTTTTGTATTTTCCCCCCATGGTATAGCCCCTTGTTTTCACTGTATCTGATTCTGGTGTCCTGCCTCTTGTATATACATCTTTATAATTTGGGGAAGGAAGGGGGTATAATGAAATGCTCAAATAAGAATACAGGTTGACTCATTGTAACAATGAGATGTACAAGATACTATGTTGAAAACAAACTTTACAATTTCTGTGGGGTGGGGGAAAGGAGAAATTGGGGGAGGTGGGAGGGAAGGGATGCTGGGGGAAAAACAAAGGAGGAGGTAACAATGCTTGATAGGAAATGTACTCATTACCCTACTCATATAACTGTAACCCCTCTGTACAGGATTTTTTTTTTGGTAATGGGGCTTGAACTCTGGGTGTGGGCACTGTCCCTCAGCTCTTCAGCTCAAGGCTAGTGGTCTACCGCTTGAGCCACAGTGCTACTTCCTGTACAGTATTTTTACAATAAAAACCATATATGGGAAAAAATTGTCTCATGGACTTTCCTGCCCAGGCTGGCTTAGAACCATGATCTTTAGATCTCAGCCTTCTGAGTAGCAAGGATTACAGGCGTTCACCGCTGGCACCCGGCATATTTTTTCTTTTAACAAAGAAATCTGCCCTGAATATTTAGTTGAAGCACAAATGAGATGTAGAAATTCCTTATTTCCACAGCTGGAGGGATTTATAAGGATTTATTGTATATTAATGGTTAGATTCTTGTACATTCATAGGATTTTGGTCTTAGAAATGTGATCATCTAGCAAAGCTCCTTCATTTTCTCTCTGAGGAAGCTGAGTACCTGAAGAATCAGGAGGGGGATCAGTTGCTCCCCCTGTGGTACGCCCAGGGCAGCCTTGGTTTGTGATTTTGTGACAGGCTTACATTCAGATGCCTTTTGTGAATTATGTGTACATCTTCGTCAATTACTGGTCTTTAATTCATTGAGTGTAAGGTTTGCGTCCAGTTTATATTCACAGAATAATGGAGACAAGAGTGTTTTAAAATAGGTTACTTTATTTGTACCTCTCAACAAATTTTGAGAAGCATGTGCTTTTTGACATTGTTTTATAGATAAAGAAATAACTGAATTGCCTCTGTAGGAATCAGGGGAACTGGAAGGTAAAAGTAGAGATCCAGTTCCATGTGCTTCTTTTTCATGCAGATGATCTGTGTAAAACACTGTTAGCCTCTAGAAAAGGCGAATTCATGAAGTATATATAAATCCAAGGTTTTCTCATTTTTTTTTGTCCACAATTCTTAAGAGGATCAAAAAAGAGACTACGTTTGGTAACATAGACTTGACATTGACAAACTTCCTATGTAGTATATAATAATGGTCTTTACACATCAGAAATGCCAACAGCTTACGATAATTAAAAATGTCTTTCTGAGGATCAAGAATCTGGATTTTTCTTCCTCTGATTTGCTTATGTTAAAATACGTACCCTGTCTTCCTAAAAATAAGTGATTGAGTTAGTGCTGTTCAAATGTTAGGTTTGTTGTTCAGTAATTCTAGAACCATGACAGCTCTGCTGTTCCTTACTGGCATTCAGTCCAACTTTAAATAAAAGATGAACAATTGATCACATTTTTCCTCTGTCCGCTATTGGATTCTGAGTTTTGTTTTACTTGAGTAATTTCACTATTACAGTAGATCTGCTAAAAATCATAGAATCATTATTCCACTGACCCCCAAGGCAAGTATAGTAAACATTTGTTAGACTCTTTGTAGTCGTTCTAGAAGTGTCTATGACTTTGGGGACTGGGATGGGTTTTTGTTTCCTCACCCACTCCTGAAGAAAACACTCGCCTAGCATGGAGCCATGTGCAGTGGGGTGGCTGAACTGTGACTTTGTTATTGAGAGCTCTTAGAGTGGCCCACAGAGACTCACCCAGAGGCAAGGAGCGTGAGCATTTCTTATAGTTATCGTAAATGGTCAGGTGATTAGAATAAAAATATGATGTAGGTTTATGGTAGTTGAGAAGCAAGAACACAGTTGTTTTTTAAGTGAACAATAATTGATAAAGTAGAGAAAAATGGGAGTCCAGAGGGCTGTTTCTATACTTGGCTCTCTACCCTTTCTCTGAGGTCTGTAGTACAAGTGACGCACTACCTCTGACATTTGCCTTACAGTAGTTGTAACCCTTGATTAAGTATTAGCAGTGTCCGTGTCTTTGTTGTTGTTCTTTTCAATGTACTTCTTGATTTCTTTTTCTTTTGTGTCCTTCCCCCCCCCTCCCCCGGCTTATGGTTTTATCCCCTGTTGTCACTCTATTTGATTTTGGTACCGTGGGTATTGTATATGCGTTTGTCTGAACTAGGGAAGGGAAGGGGAACAACAAAAGGGTAAGACAAAGGACAAAGTGGGAACGTATGCAACAATGATACTCACAAGACACCATGTTGGAAATGATCTGTACAACTTGTGGGGGATGGGGTTGTGGAAGGGAGGGTGGGAGAAAATGGGGGAGGGGGTAACAGGTTCAACAAGAAATGTAATCATTCCCTTACTTATGTAAGTGTAACCCCTCTGACATCACCTTGACAATCAAATTAAAATTTAAAAAAAATTAGCAATGTGAGGGACCAAACAGGTGCCCAAAGATACAGTCTTATTCTCTTTGCTAGTTATTTGCTCATATTTGCATAGTATGTATACAGTATATTTTCCTGTTTTTTTCACAGGCTGATCCCAAAGAGCTAATCAAGATGGTCACGAGGCACGTGACTCGACATGGGCACGAAGCCTGGCCTGAGGACCTTGTGTCACTGACCAAGCAGTTACACTACTACAATGAGCGGCTCCTGGATTTCACTCAGGCTCAGCTCCTTCAGGGGCTCCGGAAGGGTGTGGATGTGCAGAGGTTTACCGCAGACGATCAGTATAAGCGGGAAACCATCCTTGGTCTGGCAGAGTAAGGCATATTTTACTCTGATGGGAGGATGGGTTTAAAATGTAGAAGAACACATGAATTACCAGACTACATTAATTGTCATCCTTGATGCTTCATTTATGTTTGTTATCAACAGGTCTTCTTCTAGTCCTTTTAAGGATACATGTGTTTTCACAAGTATGTCAGTCAATGCAGACAACATTTTGAGCCTGCAGATTTATATAGTAAAACTAGAATTATTTTTTTTCAAAATATTTCCTGTAACTTTAACAGCACCATAGAGATTATAACCAGGTTAGAGGAAATTAGATATTGTCAGGGTGAAAGTATGATGCTTATGGTAGAACTTTTAAAAGTCAGATTGCCTTTATCCTTGGATAGAAATCTCATGTTTCAAAGTGCACAGAGTTTAATTTTTCTTAATTATGTTAAAAGTTGGATATAGCATCAGATACCTTTATTGATCCTGAGTTTCAAGAGGGGAAGAGAAGTGAATTGGTTCTAGTTGACTCTCCTCATCAGAAATGAATAACAAATACCAGGCTTTTATAGGAGATGGCAGTACAACTCAAGGCCTGAATGGAGGATTTGTTTTCTAGTTATGAAACTGTCTTTAGTTTTAATATTGGTTTCTGAGTTTTGTTTTATTAGTTCAGATTAAGTGAGAGGAACTCACTAGTCAGAAGATGAGGAAATCTATTCATCATGTGATTATTAAGTAGAGCTATTTTGTATTTAACATGACTTTTGAGTGCATACCATCAGTAAGGTACAGTATGAGGTGCTCTATAAACTTTATCTAATAATACCTTTTATCTCATCAATAACCCATAACATAAAAAGTTGGTACTGTGTGCCATGAAGTCTAAGCTTCTAGCTTTGAAACTGATTTAAATTGTACCTACATCTAGTGGTGATTCATCTCTCCTGAAAATTACTTTAAGATAACTATGCAGAATGGTCTTGATTATGTTAATAGTCTGCCATTTTCACCCATCATTTAAGTCCTTCTCACAGTGGTCAAACAGCTTTGACACCCTCTGATGAATTTGTATCAGTCGAGCTTCTTTGCTAATGGAAGCCACTCTGCCTTCACTTGAGGATAAGGCAGGACTGGGAGGATCAAAAGTGTAAGCAGTAACGAGCCATTCTAGTGGAATAATTCTCATCATCTCTTTGTCCTCCTGAAGTCCTCCTGAATTTTTGAGTCATTTCATGTCCAAAAGTGACCCATAGGATATCTTGTAGTTCAACCTCCTTCCTTTTTGGAAGAGCAGTCTGAGAACCCGATAGATTTAAAGAGTTGCTCAAGTTCATCAGCCAGGAATTGAGCCTGAATTTCTTCACTATAAATGCAATGTGCTTTTCCTTTGGGTATTTTGTAATTCTTGGTTCCATGTTCATAGTTTCTTAGAACAGAATTATTCAGAGTAAAAGTTTATAAGGTAAGGTATGTCTTATATCATTAGTTACATTTTGCTAGAGTTTTGTTTCCTCACTTTTTTTTTCTTTTAAGTATTCACCAAGCATATGCTATTTGAAGTATGTCCCTGAGGACAAATATATGCTTTTGATAAATATATAATAGAATTTTCCCTACATTCTTGCTTAGAAAAATATACACCAGTCTTTGGAAGACTTGTTTAAAGTGCCTCAGAGTTTCCAAGGGTTCGCAGCTTTGTCAGTTCTTATTTGGAAATGGCTTTGACTGTCTTGCATAGAATTGTAAAACCTGTTTTCTCCTATTTTGCCATTCTTCACTTGTATGTGACGTGCCCATTATTCATTTTTTTCACTTATTATATATATTATATATATTTAATGGCAGTCAGTGCCATTTATAAATGTATTATATCTCTTCCTTATTGTCTATGTGTCTTAGATTCTACTTTCTCAGGGGTCAGGCAGGAAGGGTAGCTTTGAAGAGGGTTAACACAGTTTGCTTCCTTCCCACCTTTATCAATGATAAACATTAATTATTTATTCAGCATGTACCTATACCATATAGTGTGCATGCCCCTATAATATGAAGTATGAATTAGTAATGACACCTACTCTTAAAGAATTATTTAATTATATATAGTCAGTATTCAGTAAATGCCAAAAAAAAATCATCTAGTGATGACCCATTTCATAGCCTTTATCTTTTTTTACATAGCCCATAAGAAAACAATGGCCTTCATAGTTTTAAATGATGTGGAACAACAATTTTTTTTAAAAAGGATTGTGTTACAAAAATTATATGGCAGCAAAATCAGAGGTGTTTACTATGTGGCCCTTTATAGGAGATATTTGCTAACCCCTAGCTAATGAAACACACATATGGTGTAGGGTAAATATGGTATGGGTAGTGTTGGTGATAATAGAGATTTTATTTCTGTTTCTGTGGTTTTGCCCATTGCCTTGTAAGCAAGACTTCCATCATCTGTTTCTCTGCTTCTGGAAATTCAAATCCTGCAGAAAACCTTAATGTTTACTGTACTCTGACTATTTTCTTGGAATTCTTACACCCCAGAATCACAAATCTATTTTATAGGTTAAACTTTCTCCAGATCTCAGTTGCCTGAAATATAAGATGCAATGTCTTTATGCCCGAGGACCCTGTGTTTTCTTAGCTGTGACCTACTTTTTTCATTTGCCAAAAGTCCATCTGTCTTTTCCTCCTTTTGACCACCCCTGCTTAGTTGAAGTCTATCCTTCAGCCTTCAAATCAAGCTGGTTACTCTCAGCCCTGTTTTCCTAGTACTTTCTGTTTTTTATTTTTATTTTTGGCACTATTAGAACTATATTACAACCATATCTCACATCCTCCACTAGGCCGTGAGTTCCTTAAAAAAATAACTGGTTTGTTTTTATATCCTAAACAGCTAGCAAAATACCTACTTTCTCAAGTGTCTACTTAGGGGAGAGGTGTAATAGTTTCTGACTATAGTCTGAGTATACACAGCAGAGTTATTATTTTAACCTCAGCACTATTAACATTTGCCTAGCTAATTCTTAGTTGTGGGAGATCCATTTTATGCTTTTTTGAATATTCTAGCACCATCCCTGACTTCGGCCAACTAAAGGCCAATGACACCCTTCCCCTATTTGTGACTGTCAAAATGTTTCCAATAATGATCAAATGTCCCCGGGTGACAAGAATTACTCTTGGTGTGGGAACCACTGGTAGACAAGTCATGGTTAATTGTAGTGTATCCAGCAATCCTTTTCCCATGTTTCCGAGAACTGAAGTAGCCAAGTCTGTCCTGGACTGTATAGCCATCCTCATGAGCATCTGTTTACTGATTAGGGTCATGTATTTCTTTTCTTACCTTCCATGTACCTGATGGACATTCCTGAAGAACTCTTGAGGAGAATGTCTACAGCATTGCTCTTTCCCTGGCCCAGCGCTATCATGTCTCCCAGTGGGAGGTCTTTATGACCCATTTGGAGTTCCTGTTTGCAGACAGTGGGTAAGTACACAACTCATTGCATGTTTTTTTTTTATAAATTTTATTTTATTTTATTTGTGAACATACTGTACAGAGGGGTTACAATTGCATGGGCAGGATAATGCGTACATTTCTTACCAAGCA